TATTATATATATATATATATATATTTTTTTTTTTTACATTTTTAATTTTTAACGATGTACTAAACAAAAATTCATATACAAAACTATTTTTAAAAAACTAATTTTTTTTTTTTACAAATTAAACAATTTAAGTACAATTTTAAATGAAAACAGCAGATATCTAAAATATGAATAAACTACAACATTACTTCAATGATACTAACATAGCACTGCATCCTTGCTGAATTTAAAATAACTCTTGACCCATTAAAACACTTCAAGAAACTTGCTAGTTTATTATTGTCACGAAGATACTAATACTAATACAGAACAAAGTATGAAGAAAGTGTGTCACGACACGCATACTGTCTGGCAACTGGGTCAGTACACACATATAGCAGACATGATCTATTACATCTATTTTTGGCAGATGCCAAATAATCAACCTTGTTGTGCGCACACACACGCCTACATATTCAAAGACACAAGGGTGTTTCATATTCTCACAGTAGAATCCATCATCATGCTCATGTTTCTCTGTGCTGATTGGCTGAGGTGGTTGTGAGGTCTCACCGTGGCTATTTAGTGTGATAATGGCGTTTGACAACACAGGACACAAACACCATTGTCACACTCCACAGCTCAGGAGGACGACAGACTGACACCTATTTTTCACCTATGATAGCAGAACTTTTATTGAATCTCTCAGAATGAATTTATGAACAGTACTTAATGAGCAAGACCTGTAAGCGTCACCCCGTTTTCACCCTTGTCTTTGGTTCAGCAGCTGGCTCTCGCTCTGGTCATGTGTACATGTTATCGATTCTCGTCTTGTGTTTACATGTCTGTCAGCGGAGTGGATAGTGACGGGAACCGTGCAGATGGTCTCCTCTAAATGATAAGTTATGCCTTAGCTCAGGAATCTTCAACAGACGGTTCTCCCATTATTGAGCTTTAAACATATTTGAGTGAAAATAACAAAAAGCAATCAAAACCACAGCTATGTTAGTCCAGATCAATGTTTTAGATTGGATTTTAATACCATGTGCAAATATATGACTGCAATCCCATTAAAATATTACTGATGTACAATATAAGCGTCATGAAGTATGTAAATATATTAATGTAGTACTTTTAAATACAGTACCTTAATATGAATCATGCTTAACAATTATATACGCATGTTTTTTAAACAGTAATATTGTGAACAGTATTACAATTTTAAAAAACTATTTTCTATTTGAATGTATTTATTTTCAAATTTGAAAATTCTAATTTGAATGTTAGTCCTGTGATCAAAGCTGAATTTTCACATGATCCTTCAGAAATCATTCTAATATTCTCATGAAACATTTCTGATTATTCGGTTGAAAACAGTTGCTCTTAGTTATTTTCTTGAATCCAAAATATTTTACTTAAACATTAATGTAGATAAGCTCAAATACTTTTTTCCCCCCGACATATATTCATTCGCAAGTCTTTTTGTGAATAAGTTAACTTACCACACCCTATTTGGCAAAGATGGCTGATCCACATGACCCTCCATGCTGTTGAAATACTGAGAGCACTAAAAGAGAAACGCATTTCACAAAACACTCTAAAACACAATATCCTTTATAACACACTCACACTCTTACTGATGTACAATATAAGCGTCATGCAGTATGTAAATATATTAATGTAGTACTTTTAAATACAGTACCTTAATATGAATCATGCTTAACAATTATATACGCATGTTTTTTAAACAGTAATATTGTGAACAGTATTACAATTTTAAAAAACAATTTTCTATTTGAATGTATTTATTTTCAAATTTGAAAATTCTAATTTGAATGTTAGTCCTGTGATCAAAGCTGAATTTTCACATGATCCTTCAGAAATCATTCTAATATTCTCATGAAACATTTCTGATTATTCGGTTGAAAACAGTTGCTCTTAGTTATTTTCTTGAATCCAAAATATTTTACTTAAACATTAATATAGATAAGCTCAAATACTTTTTTCCCCCCCGACATATATTCATTCGCAAGTCTTTTTGTGAATAAGTTAACTTACCACACCCTATTTGGCAAAGATGGCTGATCCACATGACCCTCCATGCTGTTGAAATACTGAGAGCACTAAAAGAGAAACGCATTTCACAAAACACTCTAAAACACAATATCCTTTACAACACACTCACACTCCCTCATAACCTCCCATCGTCTCTTCTAGAGATCCACAGACCGCAAGAAACTGAGAAACAAGTCCGGTCTCTGTCATGACTGCTCATTCTGCTCTCCTTTAACCTCCATATATGTACCTAGAGGGGGTTTAGTCAAACAGTTTTGTGATAAGCTTAGAGAAGTATTGATCGGCCGTGACGTAAGGACGAGGTCACCAACCCAAAACCTGGGAGTGCTTCAGAAAAAAACCTTTAAAAGCACCATTTCCTCTTAAGTTGTTGGATGTAATAATGAACATATCAGTCATCATTTACTCCCCATCTGAGCTGCTGAAGACGCAGTGGATTGTTTGTTTTTGAAGGGAATGCGCCCCCGATCTACCTAAATGCTTCTATGTTCGCGCGAATCATTCGTGATCCAGCCTCATCTACAGAAGAAGTGTGTAAGGTTTTTTTTAACGAATCTTTGCAAATCGCCTTTCCTAATAATGTGCTAATTAGCAAGTTTCACCATGAATGCAGCTAAAGTAAACTCGTAAGCAGCTCGGAAGAGAACATTTAAAGGAAAATGCTACAAATCTGCATGCTCTGAAAAGAGCTGTTTTTGACAGGGTAAAAAAAAGAGTTTTTTACACTACCATTGAGAAATTTTAACCAAACTATGTTCCAGACTTTTCATTAAGACCCTAAAGAATCATATCAACTTGTGGAAAATGGACATCCGATGACCCCATTAACACTAACAGTTTTAAAGGGTTGGTTCACCCAAAAATTTAAATTCTGTCATTAATAACTCACCCTCATGTCGTTTCAAACCCGTAAAACCTTCGTTCATCTTCAGAACACAAATTAAGATGTTTTTGATGGAATCTGAGAGCTGTCTGACCCTCCATAGACAGCAACACAACTGAAATGTTCCCAAGTCCAGAAACGTAGCAAGGAGATCTGTAAAATAATCCGTGTGACATCAGTGGTTCAACCGCAATTATACGAAGCTACGAGAATACTTTTTGTGCGCAAAATTAAAAAAAAATAACGACTTTATTCAACAATTCATCTCCTCCGCATCAACCTGTAGCACCATTTTCGAGAATATTCGTTGGACGTAAACCACGTATGCTGTTCTGTGTCAGCTGCGTCACATGGATATGTTGTTTTCAATCAAATCAAAGCACAAACAACGTAGGAAACAGATTCGGCGTGACGTGCTGTATATGCAGGGTCAGACGGCTCTGAGATTCCATCAAAAATATCTTAATTTGTGTTCCGAAGATGAACGAAGGTCTTACGGGTTTGAAACGACATGACGGTGAGTAATTAATGACTGAATTTTCATTTTTGGGTGAACTAACCCTTTAATGAACCTATGACACCTGCAACCATGAGAAGAATCATTAAGACACCTGTGAGATATAGAGGTCAGACTACCCAAAATGCCTTTTTAAACATGGAATCAGTGATTAAAATATGGCCATAATGTTTCACAAGTGTGAAAAGGTCCCTAATGTACTGAAACAAGAGGACAGTCTAAAGTTTCATAAATCGCTCACATAATCATACCTAATTTCCAAGAAGTGTTGATAAACAGTGTAGTGAATGGGTTTCCGCTGCTGCAGCTCATTCTGTGACGTGATGTTGGGAGGTGTGGGTGAGTTTGGCGTTGGACTTGTTTGTGATTGCAGAAAGAGAGCTCTTGATAAAGTGTACAGGCCGCTTTTATTTGCTTGTCCTTGGATCTGATAGCCGTCCGATTGCATGTGTGAATGAACTGAGTTTCCTTCACCGCTCAGCAGAGCCTCGTGCCATGTGTTCAGCAACAAAAATTTACAAATGACCAGAAATTAGCAGGAAGCCAGAAAGACCAGAAAAATGTTTACTATTGTAGTAGCATATTGTAGTATTACTATTGCAATAAAACTATTGCTGCACATTACAATTACTTAAGTTCACAGTGTTGCTGCAGATGAAATATAACGTGGATAACATTACATTTATATTTTTTCATCAGGTTAGACTGATTATTTTATCACTAAAATCTGTTTATCTACCTGTCGATAATTTACATAAAAATATACATTACATAAAAAAATAATTCAAATAATTCAAATTCAAAAAAAGAAAAATAATTATTCAGCAAGGACACAATTGATCACAAGTGACAGTAAAGACATTGTAAACTTATTTTAAAGAAATCTTTATAAATCAATGTTCATTTTAAATACTTCCTATTCATAAAAAAAATCATGTTTTTTTCCCCCTATAAAATTTAACAGCACAGCTGTTTTCAATATTGATAATAATAAGAAATAATTCTTTGAGCATCAATTCAGCATATGCGAATGATTTCTGAAGGATCATGTGACACTGAAGCCTGGAGTAATGATGCAGAAAATTCAGCTTTGTCATCACAGAAATTAATTACAATTTAAAGTGTTAGTTCACCCAAAAATGAAAATTAGACTGTGTTTTACTCACCCTTGAAGCATCCTAGGTGTATATGACTTTCTTCTTTCAGACGAATCCAGTCAGAGTTATATTAAAAATTCTCCTGGCTATTCCAAGCTCTATCATTGCAGTCAGTGGGTGTTGCAGTTGAACAGTCCAGAAGTCGTCAAATAAAGCGCGCGCATCCATAATAAAACATGCCTCACACACACGGCTCCGGGGGGTGAATAAAGGCCTTCTGTAGTGAATGCATGCAATTTTTTTGTAAGAAAATATCCATATTTCAAATGTAATTAACACTTTTCTCTCACTTCCGGTATCTGTCATACGTAAAACTGTTCCACGTATGTTGTATGTTCCATACGTATGCGCAGCGCGCGCGCCTCTGAGATATGCTAGTCTCGCGAGTTTGTTTACAGGAGCAAAGGAAGCAAAGTTTGCTTACTTTAGCAAAGGGAAACCAGTCTCCTCTTGGTTTATATCGAAATCCTCCGACATTTTTCTTAGCAAATCCTCGGTTTGTACTTTTAATTCGTAACTGGCATTTCATTTTGTTCTCTCTCCTCATTCGTCACTAATCACGCAACGCCGACGTGCTGCGTCATCCGCTGGAACGGCTTCCGCATATGACATACCAGAAGTGAGAGAAAAATTCGCCTACTTATACTATGCCCTAAAAGTATGTACTCTTTTTGTGAAGAAAAATACATACTTTTGAGTATGTAGAAGAAAAATAGGCAAACTTTGGGACATACTTCGGTCATAGCTGCTTCTTTAACGGATGCTATGTTGCTTAGTTACGTGCATTCTGTCACTGTTTAAACTGCCCTGTCAATCATCTTATCACAGTTAACATCATCCACATTTTGTTTAATTTGATTTACTACCGTATTGGAGAGAAATTAAGAGGTACGTTGATCTGCTAGTAGCGGGTCTATCATGCGAAAACTCTGCTCATGTGTTTGCATAATGATGCATTTAAAAGTTAATGACCAAATGTATCATTATAAAAGTTCAGTGTTGCTGCAGATGAAATATAACGTGGATAACATTCGATTTCTTTTTTTTCATCAGGTTAGACATTGATTATTTATCACTCAAATCCGTTTATCTACCTGTCCCGTTAGTCACGTACTGTATATCCGCCATGTTTGTAGTTTTTAATGCGTGTTTGTAGTTCTAATTGAATCCTCGTCCACTGCGCAATATTAGCCGTTAGAGTGTGCATCGATCTGCACTTTGAATTCTAACCGGAAGTAGTAGACCATTCGGGAATCTTTGGCATACTTTTTTAAACATACTATGATTTGGGACATACTAATTATATTTTCGAATACTATTTAGGACGGATAATATGCGAATTGGGACGCAGCGATGGATTTGTTACAGGTGGCCTTTATTCACCCCCTGGAGCCCTGTGCAGCACGTTTTATTATGGATGCGCGCGCTTTATTTGTTCAACTGCAACAGCCGCTGACCAGAGTTGCCAGGTTTTCACAAGAAAACCCACCCAAACTTAAACATACTATGATTTGGGACATACTAATTATATTTTCGAATACAATTTAGGACGGATAATATGCGAATTGGGACGCAGCGATGGATTTGTTACAGGTGGCCTTTATTCACCCCCTGGAGCCCTGTGCAGCACGTTTTATTATGGATGCGCGCGCTTTATTTGTTCAACTGCAACAGCCGCTGACCAGAGTTGCCAGGTTTTCACAAGAAAACCCACCCAAACTCTACTCAAAACTAGCCCAATCGAGGGGGTCCCCAGTTAAAAATCTTGTTCCAGGGGGGAACATTCAAGTTTTTTGTCAAGGTTCCCCTGCTAAAATTCGCATTCCAGGGTTTAAATATCATGTTATTGGAGTCGTTTCAACCCGCGGACATGAAAAACAACCTGCGGCATCAGTGTTAAAGTAGTCCAATTACGCGGGAAAACCGCGGACTTGGCAACACTGCCGCTGACTGCAATGATAGAGCTTGAAATAGCCAGGACAATTTTTAATATCCGACTGGATATTAAAACTCCGACTGGAATCGTCTGAAAGAAGAAAGTCATATACACCTAGGATGCCTCGAGGGCGAGTAAAAACACAAGCTAATTTTAATTTTTGGGTGAACAAATCCTTTAAAATACATTCAAATAAAAAAATGTTATTTTAAGTTGTAATAATATTTCACAATATTACGGTTTTACTGTATTCTTGATCAAATCAATGCAGCCTTGGCAAGCATAAGAGACTTTCAAACACTTTTTTTTTTATCTTACCACCTCAAACTTTTGAAAAATAGTGTATGTATATATAAAACTACTAATACATGTTATATAAGCAACAACATTTTTATAATATAACTTAAAAATAAATAAATATTTATGATTATTTCAAGATTTT